TCCTCCAACAGACGCCTCAGCCACACTATCTCCTTTGCCCCATGATGAAGGGCCATGTACTCGGTCTCACACGAGGATAGCCCGACCTGGTTTTGCTTCTTGCTACGCCAGCTCACTGCATCACCACCAAACAAGCACACATAGCCTCCAATGCTGGTGCCATCTGCCTTCACTGAGTTGAAGCTAGCGTCGGTGTAGCAAGTCAAGAGCATCTCCCCCTTGCTCAGATTAGCTGCACCCCTCTACAGCCCCTGTCTCACAGAACTGTACTCCAAGACCACTGATGTTGTTGCACTCACATAATGAACAATCCTCTTGGCCAATTCCAGCTGCTTATGACTCGGGCGAGAAACCACACTAGCAAGCCTAGATGTCAAAAAGGCAATGTCAGGCCGCGTGTCGTTGGCAGCATAGTTGAGTGCCCCAACCATTGAATGAAACAACTTCCTGTCAGTCTCACCCACCACCTCCTCATACGCACAGAGCTCCACTATGGACCCTGAAGGCAGTGGGGTGGCTGGCTTTCCTCCATCTTGCAGCCCATACTTCTCAGCCAGCCCCTCACAGTACTTCCTCTGGTGCAACCTCAACACTCCCTTGTCGAGGTCCCTCTCCACATGCATGCGCAGGTAGGACTTCATATCTCCCATCTTGGAACACTTGAACTGCATCTCCAGCTTCACCTCCACACGGTCAATCATCACCGAAGCCTCCGAGAAGAGAAGGACATCCTCTAGGTACACCATGCGCATGAAAAACTCGTCCTTCTCTTTCAGCAGGAACAGATTGTGGTCACAATCACTCTTCTTAAACCCTCCAGCCAGCAGTGTCTCCTCCAGCTTGTGGTACCATGCACGAGAAGCCTGCACACCCTGCCGCTCCCATCATCCAACCCCTCAGGTTGCTGCATGTACAGCTCATCGAGAATTGTCCCATCGAGGAAAGCAGTTGTGATGTCCATCTGCTTGATCCTCCATCCGCGGTTTGCAGCCATTGCCAACGACACCCTTATTGTTGTCCCTTTCCTCACAGGTGCAAACTTGTTGGGTGCAAATTCACATAGCACGACATCCTGCCGTCTGATGTGCTGCAGTTGATTGCGCAGATTCAGTTCTATCCAACTCGGAATTGTACTGTTTTGTTTGGTTAACTATAGTGTAGCAGGGAAGGCACTATAGGGGTACAATTTAGGTGAAGGTTGGATGTTGTTTGTCTGTATCTGCATGCTACAAGGCCAGGGGAAACCAGCGGAACCAGCATTTGGCTGGTTGGACAAAGACAAAACAGGTTCTGTTTTTAGAACCTGAACCTGGTTGTTGTTTTCCCAGGTTGGAAAAACAGAACCAGAGGTTGTTTACCAACCTACCACCTGCTATTTTGTCCAGCCAGGTTGGTTCTGTTGCTTGGAATTATTTGGGATCATCCCTGGTTGTTCCCAGGTTGATTCCCAAGGTCCTTGCTAGCTAGAACTATTTAATCCTTCTCTGTTTGTACCTGAATATAGTCAAATTGATTCAAGCGAATTCCTTCCTCGCTGGAATTTCGTTTCTGCGCTATTCGACGGCGGAATGCTACCCGAGTCAACGCTAGTATGCTAGCACTCCAACGCTAGGCAAACACCGTCTGAGCCATAACTTCGTAATGGCAGAACTTTTCGCGAGGCAACTTGGCTCATTTTAAAGCTCTTGGAGCGAGCTTCGATATAGCGAATTCTCAGCTTAATCCGACCGACGGTCTGCACGGCACGCTGCGCGACGTTCAAGGTACTCTTGCTGTTTTGACTAAGTCCTTCTTGATCCCTCTCTCTACAAACTCGGACCCGAGGATAGGGGCTGGTCTTGTACCAGGCACCCAGGGACCCTTGGAGGTGACCCCGAGGAGAGGTTTTAAGTTTGATTAAGTCCTAATAGCTTGAGTTTATTAGGCCCTTACACCAACAAGCTGGTATCAGAGCTGCGTTATAGTGATCCTCGTTATAGGTAGCTATGGCGGGCAACACCTCGGCGGGAGCTGGTGAATCTTCAGCCCAAGATCGTAGCGGCAGCCAAGATTCTGGTCTTTCAGCGCCAAGGGGAGCGCGAACAAACCAGGGCTCGCTTGTCAAGGAGGTGCTGAAGAATTTCACCGTCGAGAAGTTCAATGGTGAGGGCTATGATGATTGGGCCTGGAAAATGCAATTATATTTCCGTCAGATCGGTTTGCTGAAACTAATGATTGGGGAGGAGCCTAGACCGAGTGACCCCACGCTGCAGGAAGATTGGGACGAGCGCTCCTCGGCTGGCTACTATTTGATGTCGCAGAGTTTGGAGCTGAACCAGCGTCACCACGTCATGCACCTGCTGCCGGAGGTTGAATGCGGTCCGAAGGCGTGGACCGTGTTGAAGGAGCTGCACGCCCCGACCTCCGTTGTCGCAACGTTGATGCTGGAGAGGGAGCTGTCCGCGTTGCGCCTGAGCGAGGGAGAGCCGGTGCAACCAGTCCTGGACAAGATGCGCGACCT